AAATGCAATCGGCAACAATCTTTGCATAAAACATGACAGTCATGACTCTTCATTCCAAACAGTCTATGTGTACTCAAGTCTACACACCTCCCTAGATTCGACACATAACCATCTGGGAAACTCAAATTCTCCACCTATTTACATATGACTTTTTTTTTGCTCCTTGCAAAATGCATAAGGTGCTTTTGTATACTGACCTGTAACTTGATTTTTCCCAAAACCTTTTCTGTTACAAAAGACTTTTAAATCAGCTCTTGCATTTGCATTATCCTTTGTCTTGTCCTTAACATCCATTACTGTGGAAAACAAATTCTCAAAAAAATTCTTCTCAATGTGGATAACATCAAAATTATGTCTTATTAAATTTGTTTTCCAATATGGAAAATCCCAGAATATGCTTCTTTTTTTCCAACCACATTCAAAATTTTTGCTACATGATTTATTTACTTGCTCGGCATTAAGTTCTGTCACTTTTAACAAGCCAAAGTCTTCAATTTCTCTTAAAATATTTGCACCATTCAAAATTGGAGGAGGATCCCTTAGTTATATACGGTTCTTGGTGAACTTTGTCTTATTAAATCTGAATGGGTGATCAGATTTAAGAAACCTTCTATGGCAATCAAACCAAAATATCTTTTGACCGTTTGGCAGCCTAAATGCTTGTGAATATTTTCCACAGTGTGGGCATGCTAGCTTACCTGCAGTTTCCCAACCATATAGCATGCCATATGCAGGGAAATCACTAATTGTCCACATTAAAGAGGCTCTCATTTGAAAATGTTGTCTAAGTGATACATCATAAGTTACGGTGCCTTCTTCCTATAAGTCTTTTACTTCTACTATAACAAGTTGAAGGAAAGCATCTAACTTTTTCTTAGGGTTTTTAGGTTCGGGCACAATTGCAGTCAAAAACATGTAAGGCTATTTCATACACATAGACGGTGGCAAATTATAGGGTGTAATTATAATGGGCCACATTGAATGTTGTGAGCCTGAGGTTCCATGGGGCTGAAACCCAGGTGTGCATAGTCCAACCTAACATTACGCTTTTCGGCTACAAATAATGGATGGATAACATCAAATTGCTTCCAAGCTTCAGAATCAGATGGGTGACAGATAACTCCAGTATCATGTCCATGATCTTGAGCATGCCATCGCATCAAAGAAGCTGTTGCTTAAGAAGCATACCATCTCTGTAGCCTTGGAGTCAAAGGTAAATAATGCATTCGAGCGAAAGGTACACGTGACCACTTAGAAGAATTTCTTGACTTTTTAAACCTTGTCGCTTCACAAAATTTGCATTGATCTAGATCTTTATCGC